GGTTTTTCTGGTGTGAGACTTATTGCCTGTGTTTCTGTCAGTGTAGTTAACTTCCTTGGGCTGGAGTTTTCCTTCTAATACCTTCTTTTGGACTGCATTTGTAGATAGATATTATTTAAATTTGACTTTGTCTAAATTTGACTTTGTCCTGAAATATCTTATTTTCTCCATCTATAATGATTGTCAATTTTGCTGGGTATAGTCATCTGGGCTGGCATCTATGGTCTCTTAGAGTCTGCAAGACATCTGTCTAGACCTTTGAAAAACATAAAAATGTGCATTATGATTCATAATAAGTAACAAAATTACAGTTATGAAGTAGCAATGAAAATAATTTTATGGTTGGGGGTCACCACAGCATGAGGAACTGTGTTAAAGGGTTGCAGCATTAGGAAGGTTGAGAACCACTGTTAACTGGATATGTGACTCACACTTGTAATCCCAGCCCTCAGGAGTCTAAGGTAAGCAGGAGGATCAAGTGTCAAAGCTAGCCTGGGCTGTACATACTAAGACTCTGTTTCAAAAGAAACTGTTTTTCTCATAGTTTGCTACGATAGTTTTGTGTTTGCTATGAAGGGAAGCAATAAAAAGAATTAATGCATCTTGCAATCAGAAGATCTGAAGTTGGTTTTGTTTGAGATGGAGTCATATGCAGTCCAGATTGACTTCAGGCTCTCAGGTCTGCCTCAGCTGCCCAGATGCTAGGAAAGCAGGTGTGTACCACCACATCAGAAAAACCCATGTGGTTTAGAGGAATTTCACTACAGAATAACAAATTATGTTTGACAAAATATCCAATTGCAATATTTTGTTGAAATATATATTTGGTGTTTGGCTTCTGAAATTATTTTGGTTTAATGCTAAATATAAGATTAAATTAAATTAGCTAACCGTACTAGTTTTAATAACTGCTTTTTAAAATTTTATCTACTTTACTTTATATATGAGTGCTTTGCCTGCACGTATGTCTGTGCACCATGTGAGTTCATGCCTGGTGCCCCAGAGATAAGTAGACATCAGGTCTGGAATTGATGTTATAGATGGTTGTAAGTCACCATGTGGGTACTGGGAACCTAACCTGAGTCCTCTACAAGAACAGCAAGTCACTGAGCCATCTATCCAGTCCCTATCTGCTGCTTTAAAAAAATACTATGTATTTTCCCAATAAAGAGTTTCATTATGTCATTTTCACTGACATAAACAAGCTACTTCAGTCGTTCATCTCCATCACCTCCTGTCCTTTTCTCACTGGTCCAGCCTCAAATAATCTCCTTCTACTTCATGTCTTTTTTAAAAAAAATCTAGATGCCACATATAGAGAAAATGTCACTGTTTTGTCAAATATCTTTAGTTCCATCCATTTTACTGCAAATGATGAAGTTTCATTCTTTACCCACATTTTGTGTTTTTATTGTTGAGGACCTAGGCTGATTCCACAAGTTGGTTCTTGTTTATTCTTTGGATGTTTAATTTTTTGAATTCTTTATATACTCTATAGAGTTTCAGATCTTACATTGAAGGTCTTTGACACTTTTTTGTTTTGTTTTTCAAGACAGGGTTTCTCTGTGTATCCCTGGCTGTCCTGGAACTCACTTTGTAGATCAGGCTGACCTCGAACTCACAGAGATCCACCTCCCCTGCCCCCTCAATGCTGGATTAAGGGTGTGCACCCCTGGTGCATGGCCACCTTTGACACATATTGAGTTGATTTTTTATAGCATGAGAGACAAGGATATCATCATCTTCTATATGTGGATGTTCAGTTTTCTCAGCATTTAAGAGACTCTTCTCCAATGTATGTTCTGGCACCATTCCAGTTGTTTTGTTTGTTTGTTTGTCAACTTGACACAAGCTGTAGTCATCTGAGAAGAGAGAACTTCAATTGAGAAAATGCTCCCATCAGATTGGCCTGTAGGCAAGTCCACAGAGCATTTTCTTTACTGATGGTTGATGTGGAGCTTGCTGGAGGTGGCGCCACCCCTGAACAGGTAGTCCTGGTTTATATAAGAAGGTTTTAATCTTCACAGTATTAATTCTGCCAATCTAAGAGATGTCTTAGATTTCTTGCTTCCATGTTTTTTAGGCTTTCATGGTAGTTTTTTCAACTTATTAGTTAAATTTATTTTTAGGGTTTTTGTTTGTTATGTCGGTTGGTTGGTGGTTTGCTGGCTTTTTATGAGGGGGTGTTTTGTCTGTGTGTGGGGGGCTATTGTGAGTGAATATTCTTGTCATTTCTATCTCAGCATGTTAATATTGGTGTATAGAAAAGTAATGATTTTTGTATATTGGTTTGTATCTTGTTGTTTTGTGTTTTGCTTCTCATTACTGCTGAAGCCCAGGGCCTCACTCCCACCAGGCAAGCACTCCCCCACTTAACTCTTCCTGTTAGAATGCTGAGGATCATTGTGTACAGGAGCACATTATCCACACATGCAGGTGCCTGGGCTTCTGCTATCCAGTCTTCTCTTGCCTGATTAACTTGTTTGTATTTTAAATTGTTAAAAATTCAGATTTTACCAGTACTTGGGAAGGAGAGGCAGGAGGATCTCTGTGAGTTCCAGTCAGCCTGTTCTATGTAATGAATTCTAAAATAGCCAAGAAATGGGGGGAGGGGGGAAGGAAGGAAGGAAGGAAGGAAGGAAGGAAGGAAGGAAGGAAAGATAGATCAGATTCTGTGCAAAGTTTTTGAAATAATGAGATGTGACTTAAATTCAGTTTTCTAACTTTTATTCTCCAATTTTAGATCAAATAGCTCATGAATTGTGCATGCTTTCATTCTTATAGATAAAATGCAGAGGCTATATCAGGCGTGCTGGTACAAATCCATCTCATAGGCAACCCTTGCCTTTTATGCTACTTACAAAGTTTAGATGTGGTTTCAAATATGAACTCCATGTTCTTAACAAAAATGCTGTAACCTGTTTGCCATCTCTCTTCAAAGTGCATACATTTGCAGGTATGCAAACGACCAACATCTGTTGCTAATCTCCCCTGAAAGTGGTAGCGCTGGGCAGCCAGAGGATGGACCTCTGTGTTCTGACTAACACAAAGCTGGGCTTTTGTTGAATAAGTGGAGAAAGGGCATCTTGAAGATTTCAATCATTTTATATTTTGTACAGATAACATGGCATGTGTCCTGATGCTATGATGGAATGAAATATCACTCTGGTCTTCAAGAAGCGCATGTTCTTAGCTACTCCAGATTTATACCCAAATAACCAAATATAAAAAACAGAAAGCAACCAGGTTTATTCTTTTTTTCCCATCATCAATATTTATTGAGCATTTACAGTGTAGTAGGCACAATAGAACATACAGAAAACATTGTCCCTGCTCTTGAGGAGCTTACATTCTAAAAGAAAAAAAAATACACCTCTTTAAAATGGCATTTTTGTTTGGTGTTTTGTGTAAAGTACTGAGGAAATACTCAGTAGGTGTGGGCTTTGGGAATGATTTGGCCCCATCATTACTTGAGGAGAGGAAGAGGAAGAGGAAGGGTTTTCGAGGGAGACGGTGACAGACCATTCAGGGCAGGATTTCCAGGGAGATCAACACAAGCTCAACCAAGGAGAGCTGGGCTGTAGGAGGGAGGATGAGGGGAGGCAGTGGGGTGCAAGCAGAGGAAGCGGGCGGGGTTTCTTAGACACTGAGTGGAGCCAGAAAGATCATGCGGCCTTTTCCCAAATACATGGCCAACAAGTCAGAATCGTTCGTGACAAGACAGAGTAAAAAGGAAGTGATCCTGTGCACCTGACAAATAGAAATAAAGGGCTGGAAATCAAAGGCAGGCTGTAAGAGCATCAAGAAATTCTCAAAAACCAACAGCGATTTGGAAGCACAGAACCTAACAGTTAATGCTGCCCAGTGTCACAATGGGCCAAGAACATTGTGGCTTCCTAAGTTAGAAAACGCCATAGACCAAAATTTTAAATGGAACACATTACCTTTTGCCAATCAATCTCCCCCTGCACCCAGAATAAAAGGTCCACTTCAATTTTGAAAGGGGTTAGGAAGGGGGAGTATATGGGAACATGGTTGGGAATGGTAGTTACATTAGCGTTTTTGTTGTTGTTGTTAATTTTGCATTCAAAACTGGTGAAAGCCCATTAGCTGCCAAGAGGGAAGAAGGAGACAATTTCCTTTAGAGAAGTGTCAAAACCAAGACTAATTTACATGAAAAGCTGTAGAGAAAAGTAGTTGAAAAACCCATTTGTAAAACTTTTATTCCACTTACATGAACTTTAATACATGTGTTCTTAACAATTATGCTTGTATTGTTCATGAAAATTTCCTAAGACATTAAGACAAAGCTAGCCGTCATCTCAAGTCATTTCCCTGTTAACTGTTTTTACAGCACATGCATGTTAGGCAAGTGTCAAAAAAGAAAAACCGGGGCTGGAGAGATGGCTCAGCGGTTAAGAGCACTGGCTGTTCTTCCAGAGGTCCTGAGTTCTATTCCCAGCAACCACATGGTGGCTCACAACCATCTGTGGTGAGATCTGGCGCCCTCTTCTGGCCTGCAGGCGTACACACAGACAGAACATTGTATACATAATTAATAAATAAATCTTTAAAAAAAAAAAAAAAAAAAAAAAAAAAAAAAAAAAAAAAAGAAAAACCACAAAAGCAAAAGAACAAAACAAAAAAAAGTTAAATACATGGGATTTTGTTTACCACTGTGCTTGATACACATGGAGCAGTGAACACCAAGCAATTCATTTTTACTGCATCTTTACTTTTACATTTGTTCTTAGACTGCCTAAAACATTTAAATACAAATAAAATATGTAGCAAAAATAATGAAAGCAAACAGCAGGTAACTTTACAAATAATGGAATGTGAACCGTTTCTGCCCTTATTGGAGTAAATTGGGTCACAACTTTATCTAAGGACCACTTCTGGAGCTGTGGCCAAGAGTGTGCACGCAGAGACACACAATCCCGAGGTGTATCCAAGGAGTGTGTGTGTGTGTGTGTGTGTGTGTACCACAGTCTCACAAGTGCTCCACACCTTAAAGTACCCACAACAACTACACTCATGACTGGAACCAACTATCCCTTTGATCCCCCACCAGCACAGACCAGTATGTAGGCAGCTTTCTTTGCTTAGACATGGAAGCAGTTTTAACACTGGCCCTTCTGAAGCCACAATGTACCCAAAGTACTATTGCAAACATGTGTAACTCGTGTAAAAATTCCACATCCCCATATTGGCCACCTCAATATGAAAACAAGTAACTCCCTAAAGTTAGCTGGCTCTACTCCCCTAATATTAAAACATAAAAACCACATGGGAAATATAGAAATTCAAATAGAAGGAACATAAACCTGTCATAAACCATAAACAAAAAACTATTTGTGGGACAGCATGGATGACAAATGGTCTACTGTGTAAATTTTAGAATGAGGCAGACAAAGGTTGGAGGGCCGGTTAATTTTCCCTCATCTCTTTGGGTGTCCGATGTCCACAATGTCAAGTTGTCTCTCAGTAACTGCATTATTAGCGTGTTGTCTTTGTAGGACTCTTCACTTAATGTATCCCGTTCAGCAATGGTGATGAAGCCATTCTTCATCAAAAGCTGTTTTTGCAAGAGAGCAGGCTTTCTCTGGGGAGTTCAGAATCTCATAATAGAACACAGAGAAGTTAAGGGCCAGACCCAGTCTGATAGGATGTGTTGGTTGCATTTCCTTTTTGCTGATTTCAAATGCTTCTTGGTATGCTTGCTGTGACTGGTCCACAATTCCTTTCTTGTCATCCCCAGCAGCAACCTGAGCCAGGTAACGGTAGTAGTCACCCTTCATCTTCAAGTAGAAGACTTCGCTTTCTGCTTGCGAAGCATTGGGGATCAGGAACTTTTCCAAAAGAGACAGTACATCAGTGCAGATGTCTCTCAGCTCCGTCTCCATTTTCTCTCTGTATTCCCGAGCCATCTGCTGCTTTTTCTCAGCACTTTCTGTCTTTTGCTCGATATTTGAGATGACCCTCCAAGATGACCTACGGGCTTCTACAACATTTTTATAAGCAACAGAGAGAAGATTCCTCTCCTCATTAGATAACTCAGCACTTTGCTCAGTTACAGACTTCATGCAGGCTGCCATGTCATCATATCGCTCTGCCTGCTCGGCCAGTTTGGCCTTCTGCACCAGCTCATTTTTATCCATAACTGGATATTCTGTGTCCGGAGTGGGTGGCGGCACACGGACCTGGCTCGGCAGTCTCTGGGCGGCAGCAAGGCTGAGACTCTGTCCTTCTGGGTTTATTCTTAACATGCCTGGTACCAGAAAAAATCCAACATGTTTCCGATGAAAAGTTCTACAGTAGGTTCAAAGGTGTATTAAGTGTTCAGACATAAAGACTATTTCTACATTCATGGTATTTTCAAGTGGTGTGTCTTCTACAGTTCAACTACATATATAACCTGGACTTGCCTATAAGAGATCCTGTCGCCAGACAAACAAACAAAAAGTTCTATGTATATACAAAATGTAATTTGTAGGGAATTATCTACTGCTGTTCAGATTGACTAGGCATTATTAGATCTTTCAACTTAAAATGAGTTGTTCCTTTTAACATTAGTTATCGCAGATACTGAAATTATTTAAATTGAAGTGATAGGCAGGAGTTTTACATTAGGCTTACCTTTTCCTTGAATTTAAAATCAGAGTTGTGAAAGTTGGATTCTTTGACCCAAGATTTAAAACATTTGATAGCTTTGTGGTTTGAGTAGCTCACAGGTGGATGGGAAGTCTCTTGATCCCGATGGAGACAGTAGGCAAAGCCCAGAGTAAGCGCACCTGAAAGTCCAGGAAAGCTAGGGTGCTGGCACACAGCTTTATCTCAGCACCCAGGAGGCAGAAGCATGTGAATCTCTGTGACTTGGAGGCCAGTCTTGTCTAGGCCAGCCAGGGAAACATCTGATACCATCTCAAAAGAATTTTTTTTTCTCCAAAAAACCAATGGCTTTGACGTTTTGAGGCATGGTTCACTGCTTGGGAGTATTTCTGAAGACATCAAAGTGAACGTCAAGCATCTCCATGTATTTATGCAGACTCAGGCCTGCCTAATAAAAACATTGTGTTTTGGGGATTGGACAGGTAGCTCAATTAATAGTGTTTGCCTTGCAAGCATGAAGACCTGTGTTCAATCCACAGCACTCATATAAAAGCCAAGCACTGTAATCCCAGCACTGAGGACGTAGAGACAGGAGAACTCAAGGGTTTCAATGACCTACAGGTTCAGTGAAAGATGTGGAAAAAGAAGGTGGAGACCCCAATGCCAGCTTCTAGCCTCAACACACCCGTGCACACGTAACCGTACCCACAACATCCACTAAATGGCCGATGTTCAGTGGTCCCCATGTGCCAGGGATGCTGCTAAGTCCAGTTCTCATCTTACTTTTTAAAACATATTTATGTCATGTCTGTGCATCATATGCAGGCCTGGTGCCCACAAGAGGCCCGAAGAGGGTGTTGAATTCCCTGGGACTGGGATCACAGACAGTTGTGAGCTGCCATGTGAGTGCTAGGAATCAAACCCAGGTTCCCTGGAAGAGGAGCCAGCACTCTTAACCACTGAGCTGTCTCTCCAGCCCCTTATTTTGTTTTGTTTCTTTTTCTTTTTTTTTTTTTTGAGACAGTCTCACTCAGTAGCCCAGGATGACCTGGAACTCACTATGTAGCCCAGGATAGCCTCTAACTTAAGTGATCCTCCTACCTCCACCTCCTAAATGCAGAGATTACAGTGTGACCACTGACTGTGTACACTCAGGGTCTGGCAACATGGTCCATTCATTGACAGTTCCCGACAAATTTTATGTCATCTTTCTCTTGTCATCTTATGGGCTTCCAGAAAACTGAAATTGTTTTTTCAGACTGTCTGGAAGCTTAGTTACAAATGTGATTTTTCCCTCAAAGTTGGGAATTGACTTCACATACACCAAACTGCCACAAACATTTTTAAACTCCACCAAGTAGGGAGACTTTCGTAAAGAATTCAGAACAGGAGCTTGGTGGCGGGTGGTGGTGGTGGCGGCGGCGGCGGCGGCGGCGGCGGGCGGCGGCGGCGGCAGCGCACGCCTTTAATTCTGGCACTTGGGAGGCAGAGGCAAGCAAATCTTTGTGAATTTGAGGCCAGTCTGGTCAACAGGGTGAGTTCTAGGACAGCTAAGGCTACACAGAGAAACCCTCTCTCCAAAAAAGGGAGGAAAAGGAGGAGGAGGACCAGTGGAAATGACTGAGCCATTAGGAGCACTGGCTGTTCTTCCAGAGGACCTGGATTCAATTCCCAGCACCCATATGGCACCTCACACCTGTCTGCTACTCCAGTTCCAGGGCTTCTGACATCCTCACACAGACATACATGCAGGCAAAACACCAATGAACATAAAATAAAAATAAATTATATTTTTTTAAAAAAGAAAAGAATTCAAAACAGACTTGTCCAGTGGTTGCAGTCTGGACCAGATATTTCCAGGGTCTTCTTATTCAAAAATTAAACACAGATTGCAAAGTAGTGGGAAACATTATTCAAAAGCAAAGCAGAGGCTGGAGAGGTGGCTCAGTGGTTAAGGGCACTGGCTGCTCTTCCTGAAGACCCAGGCTCAATTCCTAGCATCCATAGGACCTGTAACTCTAGATCTAGGATACCTAAGGCCTTCCTTTCTGGCCTCCTCAGGATCAGGCATGCACATGGCACACAGACATGCAGGCAGTCAGCATACCCGTGACATAAAAAGTTAGTTTTTAAGCAGAGCAGTAAATACCACAGAATAGAACTAGGCTGCTGCAGCAGGTCGAGTGAGTGAGAGAGAACTCAGGGGCACGTTTATTGTTTGAGGTTACTTTTTATGGAAATAAAGGAAAGCAGGGATGATTATTAGGGGGTAGTTGAGTGCTTCTCAATTTTGAATGATAGATTAGGTAATATAATCATTTTCTACTGAACATGTCCCTTCCCATAATGCATCCATTTTAATCATGAGTACACACAAGTATGCACAGGATAACACAGAAAATAAGGAAGTCCCCTAAATGTGCTCTTCAGGATGTAGATCTGCTTTATGGTGTATGTTCTGGTGGAAGCTCCACCTCAACTCCCCTCCCCCTCTCTTTCTCCACAACCCCCCACTCAAAGCCTGTAGTGAGAACTTACTCAAGGAATCTGAGCTTTCTTTACCCATCAGGGCTGCATAAGGGGATAATTTGAACATGGGCATGGTTACCAGGTGTTTGGCTGTAGCAAGGGGGAGGTCTTTTGTCCCACCCTTTGGCATTGTTATAAAAAGTGATTAGCTTTCCTGTGTTTCTGTCTTTCTCCTCTCTGCTATCATTCTATCTAAAAGTTTCTTATCCCTCTCTCCTCCTCATAGGAACCCTTGAAAAGGTGGGTGCTGGCCTCCCACAGATGGTGCCCTGAACAGGACCTTCACAGATGGTGCAGAACTAGGGATTTGCTTGGGTGCAGAGGAAGAAAGTGAGAGTAGGGAAACACCTCAGGAAGTAGTTGGATATGTCCAGTTTTGTATTAAGGTTAAGACATTAGTATTTAATTCTTTGAGAGCAAAAACTGTGTATAGAAAAGTTAGGTTGCAGTAAGTATCTCTCTGTGCCTAGGTTTCTCTTACCTCTCTCTCTATTTCTATCTATTAAATTAGAAAAAAATATAGGGTTTGAGTATAGGAATACTGTGTAGGAAGAAACTTAGGGTAAGAGTAGAATGTCCCTAGTGCTGGATTTGAAAACAGCATCCAGAAACAAGCAGCCACTGTGGACTTAGCAGTCTGAGAAAGATAATCTGATATGGGGCAGGGAAATAGTAAGCAGATGTTTGTATATTCACTTGTAGAGAGTTTGAAAACTAGTGGAGTTAAGGTAGAACCAGAACAAGTACAGATGTTTTTGAAGTTCAGAGAGGAGCTGTGTCCTTAGTTCTCTGACTATGGGACTCTGGATGTAGACTCCTGGGGGAGATTCGGAGTCAAAATGCAAAAATAGTATGAGAAACGTGGGCTGGAAAATATTCCCGTGGAAGCTTTTGGCCTGTTGGCATTAATTCAGGACAGCTTAGATCTAAGTCCTAAACAGCAGGAGGGAATTTTCCCTGAGGTGGATATGGATAGAACAAACCCCTCTCCTCTGCTGGAACTGCTGCTAGATGAGAACACTTTGACAACATTGTTCAATCAGGGTCAGTTTTCTCTTGGCCATGAACCCAAGTGTAAGAAACAGAAGTCTTGAGACCAGACCCAAGCATTCTACCCGAGGCCAGCCCAGGGTCCAGCTGCTGGTTGTTTGAAGCCCAACAACTTGGAGACATTGATGAGATTGGCCTACTGATCAACCTGTTCAGCTGAGATCCATTCGGGAGAGGTCTCAGAAGCCTGAAGTCTGAGGAAACAAATCAACTGAGGAGTTGATGAGCTAGCAGAGCGCAACCTGAGAACACAAGAGAAGGAGCTGTCCAGCCACTGAACCAGGTCACTGGAGTCATAAGCCCACTGACTAGGAACTGGTAAGGCCTCATCTCCAGACCATCAAACCAGGTCTCTAGCCCCTAGGCCTTGGGGGCACATTCTGTGCCCCTCCCCCCAGCCACTGGAGCCCAGGGACAAGGCAGCTGCCTTTCCCTGTTCCCTCACCAAGAAAACCAGCCCTTGCGATCCCAACACCCACCAGAGCCATAAGCCCACCCTGTACCAATTGGGAACAGCTGCTCCTTGAGACAGAACCCACTAACACCAATTGGACCAAGCTGCTCCTAAAGAAACAGAGCCCATCAGCACTGATTTGACCAAGAACTCCCAGTGGACCAAGACTACCAATTGGAACAAGAGAGGCACCCTCAGACACAGACACTGCCTGAACTGAGCAGAGGAAGAGCTGAGTAGATGCTAGTGCAAAAATACAGGCAACAACATAAAGACCTATACGACAACATCAGAACCTAGTGATTCTACACCTGCAAGACCTGAACATACCAATGCAGAAGAAACAGAAGAAATCAATCCTAAAAAAATGACTTTAAGAAAATGATAGAGGCCTTTAAAGAGGAAATGAAAAATTCCCTTAAAGAAATGGAAGAAAAAACAAACAAAAAAATTGGAAGAAATCAAAGAAAGCCAAGAAAAAGCAATTAAACAGATGAAGGAAACAATTCAAGATTTTAAAATTGAAATCAAGACAATAAAGAAGACACAAACTGAGGGAATGCTGGAAAGAGAAAATCTGACTAAACAAACAGG